CACGATGATTCTCATAGGTAGGTATTTACCTAAACTTCACTTTCATAGAACATTTATTTAAAAGACTTAAGTTACTCATACACACAAAATAAAACAACACTTGCATTCAAAAAATTATTTATTACAATGCAAAAGTGTAAACTTGATTATATACAATTAAGTGTGGCTCACTGTACAATTATTATTAACAGAATGTAGAAAACGCAACACATTACGCCACAATTATTACGTAACTAGCTGCGACTTCATTCGCGTAGAATCTACTTGAGTCAAAACCACTTTTCGTCTGGTTAAAATTAAAGTTCTAGTCTGGTCTGGTTTTAGACTGGTTTTGTGGCAAGTATATATATTATCCAAAAATCATTTAAATTTTTTAAGTTTTTAGCCGATTTCAAAAAATGGAGGTGCTTTACAGTTGGACTGTATGTTTTTTTTTCAACCTACTTCAAAAAAAGGAAGAGGTCTGTTATCAGAACTTTTTTTATGGGAACGGATTCCGATATTCTTTTTTTATTTGGCTAGTGCTTCTCATGTGGCCTAATACAAAATTTGATCAAGATCTGAGCAGTAGTTTTTGAGTTTACCTTAATGATGCGTATTTAATTGACTTCAACTACATTGATGATGTTCTCATTTTATTTATATTGAAGATGGTTGTACAAAATTTTTAATGTTTCATTTATGTACTATATGATACCGCTTAATATAACAACAAGTAAACCCCCAAATAAATGGTGAATAACAAACCATACACATTATGTAGATTTTTTAATTTAAAAGTAAGTAAGTTTATAGTCTACCATAGTTGCTAGCTAGTCATACCAGTTACTCGACTCCACTGAGTCAGTAAATTATTCTGGGGGCGACGTCATATACAAATTCTGACTCTCGCAAAGTTTAAAAAAAATACTAAGCAAAGACTGTATAAAGAGGGTTATTATAAACCGGCGTCCAAAAAATCGAACCACCTAAGTTTTTTCGCAAAAAAGTGTCCTATGGGCATTTATCACAATTCCTCTCTTCTCCCGTCTCTAAGTATCGTTTATAAACTCTATGCACTGCTGATCGACTCAAATTTAATCTCCTTGCCACATTTCGCTGATTTAGCCCTTCACGAAAGAGAACTACCACTTAAACGGCTCCTGCTTCAGTGGTATTCATATTTTAATGATTAAAAGTAACGATATGCTGATAAAAGCGAGAGGAGGAAACATAATAATAATAATAATTGTAAATATCAATCTTCACAGTAAAATCGTAAATTTTGTAAAACATTTGATTTCAATGTAAAATATCCTGTTTCACGGTGCCGTTTTTTTATTTTTTTACAACCCTATAATTGGATTATCATATTATCAAAATAAAAAATATCTGTAGATTGTGGTAAAAGCCCATAGGACACTTTTTTGCGAAAAAACGTATGTGGGTCGATTTTTTTGGAGGCCAGTGTAATATGGATGTTATGGACGATAACAACCCCTGGGATTGAGGTAATCGCTACCAAGTTTTTTCTAATTTGTTTTGTGTTGTTAGTTATTGTAAACTGTTCTATTTAAAAAAATGTCCTACTGGGTTTCTTGTTAGTTCTTTTCAGCTACAAAAGCGAAATACCACTGGCTGACACATCATGAGATTTTAAAAACATACACTCGATTGAATTGAACTTTAGTGTAGTAACTCATTTCACAATGTAGACGCTCACTATGAACTGATTTTACTACAGTCCCATCAAAAGATTTTTTTCTTGATATTTTACATCTAGGTTCCACAACAAAACACTATCGTGAGCCCAGCGAAGCGAGCATGTATTAGCTAGTTAAAAATAAGAGCGACTTCCAATAAGTATTATTTATAACCTTTATTGAATAAGAGTTTCTATTTTTATTACCTGATGGTACCTAAATAGCTCCTGCAGTCCATTTTTTTATTTTATAGAATAAGGGTGACAAACGAGCACACAGTCCACCTGATGGTAAGTGGATGCTGTGGCCCATAGACATCTACATTTAACCTCGATTAAGAATCAAAATGCAGATACGTTGTCACCATAGAATACTATAATACATATACACATAATAGAACGGAGGAGTGGGCAGAGCCCGTGTAGCCACTAAAATGTCACTAACATGTCAATTCAAAAGTATAACTGTCAACACGAGATATGTTTTGACGTTACCACCGTTTCCAAATTTCGCATGCAAATTATTTAGAAAATGCCAAATTGCACACTATTTACAAATAATATATGTATTAAAATTAAAACGATTTTTTAAATGATGATCTTGAACATTAATCAAAAGTCTAAAATATTTAAATTTTCTCAGTCTGTCAACACAGCGAATCGTGTTTGTAGTAGTGATAATATGACGTAATTGCTTATATGTGTGCTCCCGACGACGCCGACCCTCGTACAAAATAAGGTTGACAGCCATTCTATTGTTTATTATTGTATTCTATGGTTGTCACCCCTGAGAACTAAGACGAAATGCTTCAATTCCAGTAAAACGAGTCGGTTCTATACACTCACCATACGAAACACAACAGCATCTAGTTGCTATTTTACGCTGGTACTTTGTGAGAGAGTGGTCCTTTTCCAGTCGAGCCGACCCTTACGTGCTACAACCCTTGCAACTTCAAAAAAGAAGTCTACTGATGCATTGTCACCCCTGACACCAAGATGGAATGAGTCAGTCTGCAATTATACTGGTTCTAAACCCTTCTAACCGGAACACACCAGTGCGCGCATGGCTATAAATATGTTTGCATATCATTAAAAATAGAATTTTTTATAGGTAACGAAATGTGTTTTGACGTAGTGTGTTGGTGCCTTTAATTATTAATTATTGCTACCTGAATTAAAATTAAATTTTCTGAATAATTTAATAACAACCGTAACTTATCCTCTGCTGCTGTGGTTATATAAATAAATGCACCACAAGTCCTTAATTTGTCATGAACATTTGGGATCGTAGACAGAGAAACCTATAGGCTAATGATTAGCGTGGCCTCGAGTGAGAAAGGACGATAACGTAGTTTAAGGTTATACAATAATCTTTATGACTTTAAACATATTTATATAAAAATTTTAATTGTTCTACGAACTGAACTGAACAAGATTCACCAATCTTAAGCTCACAAAACACTTTTTTCTCACTTAAACCAACTTGTAAAGTCCTTAGATCGCTACGAACTGTCAAAGTTGTTCAGCAAAGTGTAGTTTGCTAAACAAAAAAACCAGCAAGGAGAAAGGGACAAACAATCACACTGCTCTGTCTCATTTCTATGCAAGACGTATGCATACATTTGTCTTTTTCGCGTGCGAATTAAACATGGGCGCCGCGCCGCTTCACCCCCGCACGCCGCCGCCGCCGCCGCCACTTGCTGCGCGGCGTGAGCGAGGCTAGCACGGGCCATTTTGTTTCGGGATTTTTTTTGTTTCATTTTAAAATGACCAGTTTATTAAAGAAAAGTATAAATTAATAAACTTTCTATAACCGTGCTTTTTGATGCTAAAACTCGTAGCAGTTTTTGTTGGAAGTACTTCGGAAATATTGTTATTATTGAAGAAAATAACAAAAAGAGAATTTTAAATCCTGATCAAGTATATTGCTCAGATTGTCTCACAGCACTTCAAGCTGAAAGTGATGGTGATGGCGTGACATTTAGATCGTAAGTACTTTACTTTTTTAAACAAAAATGCTTTTTTAGGTTTCATTATTTTTTTCTAACCTCAAATTTACAATAATTTCTTAAAATTAGTTTATGCTTGCCTGTTCCTGCAAAAGTGAGCTTTGTTCTTACTCTATATGTTTTAAAAATCGCGTTTTTGTTACATACCTAGCTTAAATGTATATTATCAATTATCAAAGTTTATGTTACTCATGATGGTTTACATTACAATGCTTTCTAACGCCTAGTTTTATCGCTGAAGCAAACGTATTATTTGAACCAAACAAAACAAATTTCGTAGGCGTAAAACACTTATTGGCAATTTTATTATTAGCACACCTACTTTATCTGATTTCTAATTTAAAACATTGACATCTGAGAATAGTTTATTTGAGTTTAGATTTAACATTTTATAAGCAGGCATGAAGGTGATGGGCTTTTTGCTTAATTTGTTACAGTGTTAAAATAAAGTGTTATAGTAAAACAGTCAGTACTGGGAATTTAACTCGTCACCTACGAGATGATCATGACATTCGAGATGAACCTGCTTCTGCTAATAAAGCCAAAACTAACATCAAAGGCTTTTTCACTGCTAAGCGTCCTGCTAAAACTTATACTGCTTCTGGTTCAAAAACTGCAAGTCACACCGAAACATGACAAATGGCTACTGGCTAGAGATGTCGCTCTTTGGTTTTCCAAATCTTTGCTTCCGTTTGACTCAATTTCTGATGAAGGGATGGTGGATTTTTTATCCTATCTATTTCATTCAGTAATTTACTTTTAATGCCTTTCTTTTTCTAATATCACAGCACACAACATTTATTATGTTCACCGAACTCAAGCATTTCTTTAATTTTAGAAATACGACATCATCTTGAATGACGACCTTCCGTCACGACATACTGTGAGTGGTACAGCGCTGTCCGATGTATAAGAATCCACATGGACGCGCCTTGACACTGTTACCTTTGATTTATGGACAGATCAATACAGGAAACTGAATTATATTAGGTTTACTCTACATTATTTGACAGCTGGTAGGCAATTTTCATATAAAATATAAAAAGACGAATTCACAGAAAAAAAAACTTAACGTAAATATCAAGAGGTTCATGCTGCTTCTTTCCTCAGCCAAGCAACCAATTTAGCTTTTGACTTCGAAGTTCTTTTTTTTTCTGAGCAATCTTCTTGCATGATATTAAAACGGAATTATGTTATTCTATTTCTTATGTATTCTAATTATATCCCTGATTGCAGATTTTGAACTGAAGTCATTGATTCTGAGTACTCACACTGTGACTGAAAAAAAAACAGGAGAAAAGATAAATGAAATGATACAGGGCGTAAAGAAAAAATTTGGACTGGATGCGAAAAATATCTACGCTGTAACGGATGCTGGCAGCAACGTGAAACGGGCAGTTTCGTTGGGAAACATGGAGCACCATTTGTACTTCGGACATGCACTTCATAACCTTGTGACCGTGGATGGTATAGATAGTGTCCCAGAAGTAAAAGAACTGGTTAATGTAAAAAAAATTGTCAAGACTGTGCGCTACCGGTTACCAGAGGTGGAGTTAGAAGCAGAAAAGGTGCAGAAAGAATTTTTGGATAGTGTTGAACGAGTAGTAGAAACACTAGAAATTGATGAGAGTAACCCCATTTTACAGAGCAATTCGCAGACAGCTACAGAAGCAAGCACCGAAGGGTTTGCAGAAGACATGTCACTTATGACAGCTGACAATTTTAGAAATATTCCGTCAATTAAAACGGCTACGCCTACACGTTGGCGCGCAGCACTTTAGAGATGCTGGAGAGTTTAATTCATGTTTGCAACCGTGATCCAATAAACAACATGTTAAGAAAAGTAGGTAAAGATGAGCTGAAAATTACTTAAAATGAGTGGATTCATTTGGAAGACTTAGTAAAGTTTTTAAATCGATTCCGTGAAGCAGTCGAAATTATGTCATCCCAAAAGACCTGCACTATGAATGTTGCACTTGTATTTCGCTCTGAAATAATTGATGTTCTAAAATCACTTGATGATGATGAATCATTGGTTCTGTTTCGTTTAAAACGCAACATGTTGGCGAATATTGATAAATGATTTCCTGTTACTAAACCTGTAGTAGCTGCAGCTCTTTTAGACAAGCGGTTCATGAGTCTTAAAGAGTTAGATTTATATTTAGAGTCAAAAAATATGACAAAGGCTTCCTTCCCTGCATCTTATATAAAAGAAGTTATAAAATCGCATGATTTGCCCGGAAATTGTGAAAGAAACGAAACGTATACTTCAGTTTCCTTAAATACCAGCAGTTCCTCATCAATTTTGAGTAAACTCTTTAAGAAACATAGTGCTGGTCATGGTCATGGATTTGAAGATGATGGATCCACTAGACCAAGAATGTTGGCGATATCTCGCTGCTGCTGTTGGATCTACGGATATCAATAATGAGGATCTTTTATCTTTTTGGAACGAAAAGAAGAAACATTTTCCTTGGCTGTCTACTTTTGCCAGAGCTTTGCTATGTGTACCCGCTACAAGTACCCCAAGTGAGAGGGTATTTTTTGTAGCTGGAATGGTAGTTTCTGCAAAAAGATCTCGGTTGAGTCCACAAAGGGTGAGTCAAAAAATTTTTATTCAAGATAACTATAGGGAATGCAAAAATAATATAGAAAACTAATTTTGTTGCCTTGCTTGAACAGTTTTGTTTTGTTTTTTGGTAAATAAAGTGAGCATTGTTGCTTTTTTTTTAAAGATTTTTTACACTGGATTTTCATACTGCACATAAATCAGCCACGCCGCCGCCGAGCGAGATTTATCAGCACGCCGCCGCCGCAATATTTGGGGGCGGTGCCCATGTCTAGTGTGAATGCGAAAGAAGGAGTGAATTTGTCTATAGGTTTCTCTGTCTACATTTGGGATGATGAAATATATTTATTTATATTAGTCTTATTAAGGCTCAAATCTGACGTCATTAAAATAATCGCTGAAGTACGACTTTCGCCCAGTGACAAGTGATGCATCTACTCCGTACATATTATGTAAAATTATATAAATGATAAAACCCTGTGGCTAAACTGTTCAGTTTATATTTATGGTCAAAGGACAGCACCGAGTTCGTCGTACTATTTCCTGTGTTATTGTCATCACCATCCATATAATATGTAACAAAAACCTTGTCCGATCCATTAAGGTATTCTTCAGCATTGAAATATGCATTTTGAAAACAATTTAAATAAAATAAATAAAAAACAAAACGATAATTCAATGAGGAGTCTTATAATACACGCAATGAACTACTCCCACTAGTTACACATTAGGACTGCAAATCGGACAGATTTCATTACATATTGGATTTCTCATAAGCTCGTATATATATTATAAGCAAACTAACTTTTATAATGTTCGGATAAAAAAAAAACTAAATAATTTCTTCTGTTAAGAAAAATACTAGATGGTCTTACTGACACAGAATAATAAACCCACAGAGCTAACATAGAGTAATCGGTAACGAGGCTACTTCTTGATGAGTTGCACGACGTCCTCGTCGTTTACGACGTGCGCGACGCCGACGCGCTGCGGTGAGTACTTGGTGCTGGTGCCCCAAACCAGCGCGTACTTGAGCTGGGCGGCCAGCGACCGGTGGATCGAGTGGCACACGTGCTCGATACTCACACCCTGGAATGGAACATTAGTTTTAACTTCGTCAACCCACTTGATCTGAAAATATGCGAATATAGTATTTTATATAAATTCACTGACACTCATACTTCGTACATAACATAACAAACATAAACACTCACGCCTGTCACCCAGAGGGGTAGGCAGAGACTACCGTAGTTATACTTCATAACAATTAATATTGTAAAGAGCAGAATAACTATAACAGCTATATAACGTATGGCGGCGGCGTAATAGAATCAGTCTTGTCAGTCTTTCTTAAACTTTTATTTTATTTTATAGAATACAGGCGACAAGCGAACACACACCCCACCTGCTTGGTAAGTGGATGCTTTGGCCCATAGACACCTACATCCACATACACATGCGTTGTCACCCCTGAGGACTAAAATGGAATACCTCGTTAACGGTAAAATGGGTCTTCGGTTCCCTAAACTCACCATACGAAAAACAGCAGCGAAGTCTGCATTCAGCTGCTATTTTACGCTGGTATTGTGTGAGAGTGTGGTCCTGCCCCGGTCGAGCCGACCCATTCGTGCTGTAACCATAATTAAAGCTGCAGTATGGCTCTACCAAGGTAAATCATTACAATTTACCGCTACAGGTTACAAAGTCCACTGCTGAATAAAGGCCTCCCCTATAGATTGCCTCATATGGGGGATAATTGCCATAGTTGGCACGCTTGGCAAGCGGGTTGGCAACCGCAGGAAGACGCTGCTGCCTACCTCTTGATTTGTCTCCCTCTGTCGCCTCTTACGACACCCACGGGATGATATGGGATAGTGGATATACCTACACCGGTACTACACGGGCTTTTCCATGCTAGAACTATACCTACATCGGCGACTAGGAGAAGCCTCATAGGTACGAGAAGTCTGGAACTAGATAACCGATTCGCTTCCTAACCACCACAGGTAGTAATACAATAAACTTAAAAAAATAATGTAAGAAAGGATTCATGCAGTCAGTCATTCAAGAAGTATGTTAGGGCTGAATATGAACAGGTTCAGAAAATGTGTAATAAAAAAAAGTATAGTTTGCAAGATGATATTGTGACCAGGATTAAGAAAGGAAGGCTTCTGTGGTTTGGTCATGTAGAAAGACAGAACGAGGAAAGAGTGATTAAGCAAATTTATGTCGTAGAAGTGAACGGCAGAGTTGGGAAGGGACGCCCTAGGCGAGTTTATTCACCAAGATAGCGACAAAAGTAACCTTAACCGACGAGCATGTATGCGAAGGTATATGAAGGTAAAGGAGGCGAGAGAGGTGCGTCAGGACCGTGCTAAATGGAAGTCCGTATTCTCTGCCAACCCCTCTGAGTGACAGCCGTGATTATTTATGTATGTATGTATGTATATGGATCATTAGTGCAATAGCTAAGCAATTGGCTGTGGTACTACGAATCGCGAGATCAATAATTCTCGCGAGAGACAATGTATGATATACTAGCTGTTACCCGCGGCTTCGCCCGCATGGTCACTGGGAAATGAACTATCCATTGTTTTTTGAATTGAAAGAAAACTGAGTTTTATAGATTTGTCAGGGATGCAGCCATTAAAAGGAAACTGAGCAAAATTGATTCATCAGCCTATTTAAATGTTTTGAAACGCAGCGTATAGGAAAGCATGAAAATAGCCTGTTTATTCCAAATGGAAATGGGATATTTTTTTAATTAAAGGAAACTGAGCATAATTATCCGTCAGGGATTCAGACTTTTGAAAAGAAACTGAGCTAAATTGATTCGTCAGAGATGCAGTTTTCTGAATTGAAAGGAAACTGAGCCAAATAAAAGATCCGCCAGAGATGCAGCCTTTTGAGTTGAAAGGAAACTGAGCTTAATAGGTCCGTCAGAGGTGCAGCATTTGGAATTGAAAAGAAACTGAGCTAAATAGGAAATTTTGAATTGAAAGGGAAGATCTGTGGGAATTCTGATTAATTGATTGTGGGAATTTTGGAAAAAAAAACTAACTGAACACTATTTTAAGATGCTACTGTACACAATGTTATATGTTTTTCCATTCGGGGAAAGAATGTGGAGATTCTGGGCATTTGACACACGCGAACATGCTACATACAGCTCACCATGAGAGAAGCACGGTTTTTGTAAGATGACCCCCGCTACCAGTAACGTTTGCCCTTGCGCTTTATTAATTATCATTGCAAAACTGAGCTTAATAGGGAACTGCAACCTTTTGAATAGAAAAGGAAGATCTGTGGGAATTATGGGGATCCGTGGTATAATAACATTTTCTATTGACCGATTATGTTCCGTCCAAGATGTGTCACACGCAGCCTTGTCGCGTTACATAACCGAGGAGCATCTAAATTTCGGATTAGCATGACTGGCCCTTTATTTTGTGGACTGAACTCTAGAGAATTTAGAAACTCTACGGGATATGAAGTGCTCTGTTCTGTGTCCATAACTGTGTCTAGTCTGACAAATACTCTGTTATTTCTCCTGCTACTTCGCTTAATATATCTGAATTTATTTTGTTAACGCTCTCATTTTTTGGTGCAAGAATCGCCCTTTCACATAACCATTTGTCTTCATGCATGTTGTTCGTTAAATCTGAATAAACGCTCGCAATTAATTCGGAATGACTGTGTACTAAATTACAAAAATCTCTCGTCAATTTAACGCAGCCCTCAGCATCCGTTTCCAACCGCCCATCGCCAATTTTTAATAGTGTGTCAGCATAGTTTCCAGCATTGATATCATTATACAAATGCACTCTCATATTCGTAGTTAAACTGAATTTTGTCACCTTGTTCCATAAAATAGACGACTTGAGGCATGCTTTAATTTCATCTGCAGGTGTGCCCTTTTGAATGACAGGTAAAGTTTCGCGAAAGTCACCAGCCAGTAAAACCACCATTCCTCCCATTACATCGGTATTGCTGCGCAAATCCTGGAGCGTTCGATTTAGTGCTTCTACAGCTTTTTTATGCGACATTGTACTTTCGTCCCACACTAAAAGTTTGCATTGTCGTAGCATTATACCTCGTGCACTATTTTTGCTAAAGTTGCAGATCGGCGATTCTTCCTGGGCTAGATTTAGAGGGAATTTTAAAACAGAATGTGCAGTGCGGCCCCCGCTTAGCAGCGTGGCGGCTATACCG